CAATGAGCCTGTGGAGTCTGTATGGAAAAGCAACTACATCCCCCCACCAAAACCCAGACTGTAAGGTTCTGAGAGGGAGATGTCTCTCCCTGTGTATGAAAATGATGATGAAAATAGGCTTCCCTTTCCAAATTTTACTGTAACACTCTAATAATCTTCTCAACTGATATTGATACTGCTTTAATTTTACAGAAACATCTACCATTGGAGAAGAGTTTCTCTGAATCACTTTGAAGAGCTTCTTCAATTTGTTCTAAGGATTTAGGGATCCTAGACCTGAGGACCTGTATCATTTGGAAGACTACATCTCCTTCTGGCAACTAGCTGGATTAAATCTTATGGGTACAAAAATAATCTAATTTGCTGTTCTTTGTGAAATGTCTCAGAAGAATATTTCAAGTTTTCACACTGCACAGCTTCTATGTAGCTGCTATGTGGGAAAGGTCTCCTCTCAGTTCCTCAGCGTGGCAATAGTGCACTGAGATCAGGTGGGAACAGCAAGAGTGAAGGCTAAGAAGGTTTGTGGAAAGACAGAAAGTAAGAAGAAAAAGCAGACAGAGAAGATTTGTGCCTCCAAGGACACAGCTGGGATACAAATGCAAGGTTAGTCTTAGACATGCACTTTTCAGTCCCTTAGGTTTACAAAAAAGCCCCTGTAAATCTCTGCTCTTGTATGATACAGAAAGCTAAAAGCTCTTCCTTTTTTGCTATCTGACATCTGTGAAAACCTATCCACAGAGTTTTGATACCAAACTACAGGCACGTACCCCAGTAGGGAAGGGGCAGAGCCTTGTCTAAAGGCCTGAAAAGAGCAAGAACTCAGTTTCTCTATGGTCACAGCCCTGGCTAGTAGGAGATTAGAACAATTTCCTTGGTTTCTGCATGGTTGTAGATTAAGAATCCCTGGGTAACGATAGTAAATCCAAGTGTTCCAAAGTGCATTTAAAACCACTTTATTCATTTGGTATAAGGGCCTATGCAGGAAGGGTCTAGGAGCTTGCTCTTCAGGGATCTCAAAGCATTACAGGAACACTCATTACTTTCAGTCAAAATGATTCTCTTGGAAAACCTGAGAATTCTATCAGTATCACCTTCAGTTTCTGTGGATCTTCAATAAACCAAGAAGTTAGATTTTTCTAGTTAAAATAATAATAATAAAAAAGAATATGGTTGTTCCCTCTCTGCAAGAACTGGAAAGAAAATTCACATTTCTGGATACAGAGTCCTGTACTTCAGCTATAAAAAAAACCCCAAACGTTTAAAGAATTCAGACATACTGATCTGCAGCCAGACAACAGAATCAGGACTGTTACTGTTCTGCATCGCTCTAAAGAACCTAAGTGTCTCTGGCACTACATTCTAATTTCCCAAAGATAATTTCATGTGTTAGGAGCTACCACATCAGAATTGAGTTGCAAAACTGCTATTAATTTCAACGACAGTAGGAGTTACACTCCAGCGAGTGCCTAATCACAGCTTTCAAACTTGCAATTTTGGCATGAACTTTCTTTGCAAAATAGTCTGAAGACCTGAAGCGCATTTCATATGCTTATGGACTCTTGCTTAAATGATCAATTCCATTTCCAGTGAAGTAAGAACTAATAGTCTCAGAATTTTAATGAGAGGTAGCTCATTTCATTTGGAACACATTTTTTTTTTATTTTTTTTTTAGCAGATTATAGTCCTAAATCTAATCCTGTTGACTCTGTGGAAAGACTTGGTGGGAGGCATTTCCTTAGCTTGCTTTTTTTTTTAAGACCCATTTAATTAAATTGTGATATAATACCATTGCCCATGCAATTTTCTTTGTTAATCTTCCAAAAGACATCTCAGCACTGAAAAAATGTGCTAGGAGAAATTACTTGGATGATTTGACATTTTGTTCCCACTAACTTCATAATGTTGCCACCCTGCAGATAACTAACCAGCTATAAAAGTAAAAGAAGGAGCATGTTCTTACTCAGCCATGATTAGCAGTTTCTCCCTTCTCACTTTAGGGATATTTCCTGCTCTCACTTTAGCACTGGCCTTTGTTTTTGCTCAGATTAACAATAAAGGATCTAAATCATTTTTCCACCTTCTTGCTCAACTAAGCTTTAGAAAAGATAAGCACTATATTTTTGTCAGGCATACAGTCTCCATGTATTCAATTTAATAATTCTCTAGAACTACCACCTCTTTAAATATCAAATTAACATTCACTATAACTATCTCAAATAAGACCTGGACTGTGTAGCCCCAGCTGTACCTTGTATTTGTCTAGCCTCTTTACCCCTACTTCAGAAAGTAGGTATCAAGTTACTCACATATGGAAGTTTTAAAATAAAACAGTGAAACTTTGCTTCTAGCAAGTTTACCACTCTCAGTAACAATGAAATGAACCCTGGCTTTTGCTCCTCACAGAGAAGCAGAGGGCCCATAAAGTTCTTGATGCACTAGCCTATTTACCATTATACTGTGTCCAAAAGTATTTTAGAAATGACCAGCTAGTGCAGCCATGGCTGGAAAAACTGGGTGAAACCACTGTTTTCAGATGTAAGCAGTTCTTTACTGTCAAAGACAAGATGTACATCCTTCTGCAATTGAGGTGGCATTCAATTATTCCTGATTCCCAAAAGTGACATAAATGCTACTGTTATAGCTCAGATACTGCAGTGTTTACTGCAGTAGTCTTTCATAACACACAAAATATGGTTCTTCTGCTCCTGAGATAAGCATTAGTATTGATATTGGCAACAGTGGCAGGAGGAACAAATGATGGGAAAGATGAATTAATTTGAAGTTAGTCCAGAGAGATCAAAGAAATGTGGAGTTCCTCAAAAGGCAGAAGGAACCAGACTCTGTGTGCAGCCAGCTGCATGAGCTGAGCGAGCCCAGAGGAAAGGTAAGCGTGACATCGTTCATCTTCATTCAGAAAATAGGTGGAATCAAAAGAGGTGCGATAGGAATTTGGAGTTAGGTGATAACCTGAAAGGTCTGTTTCCTAAAAATGGCTGGTCATAACCCACAGACAGACATGAAAGAATATTATGATTTGAAACAAAACCTATACAATAACATAAATGAGGCAGAAGTATCGGTGGCAGTCCTATGGCTGAATTGTTTTTGTGGGTGTACTTGATTGTTACAAGGGTATATAAAGAAACTTGGCTTAGCTTCTCTTTTCCCAAGAATAAATCTCATCCTGTTCTCATTGTGACAGGCAGCACAGAGCTGAAAGAATTAATCTTGCAAGTCAGCTTCATACAACTCCTTCCATTTAAGCAGCACCCTCAAGATGCTCTGAAAGATTAACACACTAAATATTTGCAATGCAGTTGCCATTTATGTAACCAAAGTATGCATTTGCTAAGCATTCACTTGTGTCCTGGGTGCAGCAAAAGAAATAGATTAGGGAGCTATCATATCTCAATATACCTGGAGCACAGTTCAGTATTACAGAACGAATTAATGCTCTGTATGTCATACATAGGTCTGTAACATGAGACAGCATTCAGTTAAAATAATCTGATCTCATTTACACACTATCTTTTAAACATTGTTTTGCAGTTTGCAGTTTAATGGGATTCAGTCTACGTGGCATGGATACTATCTTACTACTCAGTCTGGTATACAGGAATAGTTTATATAGTGTTATATATCAGGATATGATGCAAAGGCTATATTTAGAGATGCTGATCTTGCATTTAATAGGGTTTTTAATTTAAATAATCATGCACTAGCATATCTTTAGCATTCTACACCACTGTACTGCATAGTGCACACTCAAAAACAGTTGGAACAATTATAATACTTAATTGCTTAATTGTTCCTATTCTGAAAAAGAATATATAACATAGTATAACAACTATGGTATCTCAGTGCAGAACTTAGCAGAGGTGGATAAATAGCATGCTTAGAACACACAGAAAACTCTCTGATGAATGATATCAGCAAGTGAAAACAGAGAAAGAATAGGAGGACTAGCTGTTCTGGGAGAGCTTTGCTGCCAGGATTGAAGAGTGAGCACTTCTGCCCAAACATCTGTATTACTAACCACTAACTAAACAGTGGTGTCTTTGGTCTCTGAAATAAGTGAGTATTCCTTCCTACCAGAACAAAGCAAATTTGTCCATTTCTTCCTCAGTCTGCTTCTCATGCAGCTAAAGCAAAGAAGCTAGACCATAGCAGGAGTGACTCTCATGGGGTTTATTCACTCTTAGCTACTCTAAGGTTTTCGTAAATTTCTGAAAGATTTAACAGCTTTCCACACAAAGGCATAGTGATATCACAGTTCTCCAGATGACACAGAATGATTGAAGTGTGCATCTGGGTGTTGAGAAAAAATTTCAGCACATATTTCTCCTTCAAGGTTGCAGAGACACATACCTTAGCCTCATGCTATGAGGTCTGGCTACTGTTATGATAGAACTACAGGTAGGAGTGCAAAGTTATCTGGGCATCAATATTCCCATTTCTGTTTGATGTGCCACAGAATCCAAGATGGTCTCCATGCCTCTCCAGACTCAGAGACTAAATCTATGCTGGTCTCTCTTCCTGCTCTGTCACAAGGGAGTTAATTACAGCTTTGACCCTTCAACCAGTTCCTTAATAAAGGAGGAAATTCCACTGCTTTCTGTTCTCTCCATTATTCTATCCTGTGACTAGCCTCAAGTGGCTCTCAGTGAATTTGGACTTGACAACATGAAGATTCACAGCAGGTTGCCTTCTGCTCAGAGCCCCAGCTCCAGCTTAGGAGCCCTGCTTTGCACAGACCTCATGTGAATGGGAAAGGCAAGTGCACAAGAGGATCCCAGGGGAAGAAGGGCTGCAATGAACAACAGCATGGTTGCCACAGCATCACCTACATTAAGAAGCACTACTGGCATAAAACTGTCACGCACACAAAATACAATCTGCTCTTATGTTCACAGATGCCCATATCAGACCAGTGTCAGGGAGTAGCAACATGCCCAGAGTTGCTCCCAAAACATAACCATAGAGGCCAGACAGTTTATTACCTCTGTGAGGATCAAGCGTTGATACTTCAACTTCAGTGTACTCCACCTCAGAACTCTCAAGGTCAGGTCCTGCCCCAAAAATATCAAGAAGATGTTTCTTTGTAGGACTGCATGCTTCATTTGAACTGTGGGCCTGATCCTGCTGCCACTGAAATTAATGGACGAGTCCTCATTGACTTTGACAGGTGCAGGATCAGGCCCGACTTATGGCAGATGCAAATTACTCTGCTAAGAGTTGTAAGGCCAAACCATTCCTAAGGGTTATCCCAATATGAAAGGCAATAGACCAACTCAAATCAGATTTCTGAAACTGTGGGACATGCAGATTGTGCCTAAAACTCTTACTTTCAATTTAACACCTTCAAAAGTGGTACAATACAAATGGAGCAGGGAATTATCCAAGATTCTCCCATATTACTGCTCCAGCACCTCTCTCTTCTATTTCTCTCCCTGACATTATCTTTTTCTCCTTTTCTACGGCTGCTATGGCAGGACACTTCCCATTCTCCACTTTCCTCACATTTAAAGCCTTCTCTAAGTCTTTCATTACCTCTCTCATCACCTCTCATACTCTCCATTTCTGCTTTGCCAATAAACAATTTCAGCACTTTTCTCTTTATGTTGCCCTTCAAGCTCACCATAGGACATCTACAATGCCAACCCATCTTCCTTCTAAAAATGCTTCTCTGCCACAATGCCCACAGAAAGCCTGACAATGATTAGATACCTGATTTACTAAGACTACTGTCTGACAAGTACTGGCTACAACAAACACAAGAAACAGCTGTTGCTTTCTACTCTCTCTTTGCCTTACGATGGAGATGGTTTTCTACGAGATTTCTGTAAAAGTTAGAAGGAACCACAACAATCATCCAGACTGGAATCCTAGAGAACTGCTTGTGGAATTTTTAGAATAAAAATTAGAGAAAGATCTAATGATTAGAAGAGCCAAGTTTTGGAGCAGCTTTCCAATAGCATTGGTGAGAGAAGGGAGAAAAAAAAAAAAGAACCTCAACCAAAACCAGTGTTTAAGGTAGCATATTAGTTAATAACAAAGTTTAAAGTACATGCTGCCTACAATGTGATCAGCAGTGATTTTGAATTATCAATACAGCCTTATGTTCCTATGTTTCTGCTGTCTGTATGCTTGTTTTGCATGAGAATGTCTCTCTAGTTCTAATTTGACTTATTCAGGCCACAACGGAATAACTTCCATGCATTGACCATAAGCTCCTTCCTTTTGCTTAAGTAAAAGCTATTGCCACACAAATGCAGAATAGGTATTGTTATTTTTAGAGGTGTATGAATAATAGGCTTGTTTTTCAAATCTGGTAGAGAGATCTGCAAAAGCCTAGCTGGTTTTAATTAAGCTGCCCAATCCACAGTAGGTAAGGATTGAACCCATTTATACCTGGCACACATGCAGATCATTAGACCAGAGGCCATTTAATCTGAAACAGGTAGGATACAATGGAAAAAAAAAAAAAAAAAGAGTCATTGAGCTAGATTTTTCAAAGGTTTCCAAAGTTTTCCTGTGAAATTGACTTAGTGCAGCACCTTTCTCTTAGTCTTGTGGTACAATGCTGCTGTGCACACTCAGAATTGCATCAGAGAATTGCTGATTGAGATTCCTGCCATCTATGTTGCATACAGACTTATGCAGGAGTCTCATTCCATGCTCTGGATTAATTTTGGGTTAACTTTGATCTTTAGTTGCACTGATGCATTTCCAGCTAACTTTCAACTCGTGGTTCAATAGACAACCAAGCCAAAATGTACTGTAACCCATGAGAATACTTTCATGTCAATATAAAACAAAAATACATGGGACAAAGTATGCTTTCGGATGGCACTATCCACATATTTAAGTACTATTCTTTGACTAAATATCTTTAAAACACCAATTTTGAAGAATACAGTGTGCTAGATAATACAGTACTTGGTGACACATTTTTATGAATATATAAATCAACCCACATGGTGTCTCAAGGTATTTGGCATGTTATTTTATTCAGATTTCATAGCAGATTATTTTTAGGCTTAATGCTTAAATATTTCAAGATCTGCAGAAATTAAGACAGGATAGGGAAGTAAAAGAAGTAGAAGTCTGTAGAAAATATTTTTTTAAAAAAAGATTTCTGAATATTTATTGTATAGAACTTAAAATTTTGAGTCTAACTTGTATTTTTATACCATTCTTCATTGGGTGGCCTGGAATCCAGAACAACTAATTACATTTCATAATGCAGTTGGTAAATCATCTTATCATTGTCATTTTGCACGTAAGGAAAAAGAACTAAGGAAACTCAGCAAAGGAAAGAGTCTTCCCCACAACAAAAGAGAAAAAGGAAAGTACTGGACCAATCCTACCATTAGAAAACATCACAGCTTTCAATCATAAAATAATTTTAAAATCTATTGTTTAAGTATGAAATTACCTTTACTCTCATCTGTTGATTTCATGTGATTTTCATTATCTTCAATGTATCCTGATCCTAAAATATTAAAGCAAAAGTTGAGCTGACAAAATATTTATTATAGCAAATTAAATAAATGAGTCAGACAGCTGCAGCTCTTATTATTGTTTATATACATACGAGAAATTCTACTTTTAGATTCACACCTGACATTCATATAACACAGGTGGGAAGAATGTTTCTTTTTAAATGATCAGCTCAAAAAACACCCAAGGTGTAACTTTGTTTATATCAGATGCTCTAAACATGTCCACCTGTCTTTGTACAGTGCATTGAGATCCTGGAATGAAAAGTGCCCAGTCATGGCAAGTTAACATTGCTATACTGTGGTTACATCACAGAACCACATGCTGTAACTCAAATTTCATCTCTGAAATAATTTTCTTGCAGCTGTGTCAAAACTGTGAAAAGCAGAAAGAAATTTTCTTTTACCATGATTTTTCCATCTGTAATATTGGTAACTGATTGCCTCGTAAAAGTGTCTGAGCAGACTTATAAACCAATCTTTGTATGAGACATGCTCATAAAAAACTGTACAAAGACAAAGATAAAACAAAGATAGAAGATACTTGGGAGAATGTTATTGGTATTCCTATTCCCAAAACACTGGGTCTTATCCAAACAACAACCATGTAAGTCCAAGACTTTAAATAAATGTTTAATTAAGCCAACTCACTAATAGTCTTACAACAAAATTTCCTACCTGAATAATAGTCTCCATCATTGTGCTGTCTTGTCAGTTTTTCACTTGTCAAGTTTGTAGCCAAGGCAGAACTGAAAAGCAAACCAATAAAAGTTGATGTAATTATCCAAAACTCATCAATAAAAACAACAACATGATGATAGGCAAAGATCTGTCATTGTTTATGCTGACTACCACATGTTCTTAACTATTGAAGCTCATTTTGCCTTTTTCTTTAAGAGAAGCACAAATAAACTTTAAGGTCAAAAATGTTCCCTCTTGCAATACTCTTCTTTAAGATGTCTTTATTTTTAATTCCATATCTAAATGCATTCAAATGTAGGCCCGACATTCTTCTATTTCTCTTAGTTGGCCTTTTTTTTTTTCTATTTTTAGAGTATTTCCTCATCCTGTTGCTGTGTTAGCAGGTGGTACATGAAGCACAACCATCTATTGTCTGCAGGTGTGTGCCATAATACACTATATTCATACGGTGGAAGGCCTCCAGCCCTTTACAGATAAATACTTCACCATTACCATAAAGGAAGTCATCTTACCCAGACATCTCCATGGACGGTCCTTTAGCTTGATGGAGAAAAATAAAAGCATCTATTAATAGATTGCACAAGTAAAAGAATTTAAAAGTAAAAATGAAAACAAAAATATAGTGATTATCTACCCAAGTCAGAATCATTTCTCTTGGCAATCACAAAATTAACTACCTAGTGTCTTACATTCTGTTTAACACCCAGGTCCCTTAAATGTCTCTTCCACAGAGAACCTAAGACCCCAAACCCCAAACTTTAGCCTGCCCAATTTAAGCAGAGACATCCAGATACTCCAAATTTTCCCAAATATTTTGCAACATACTGCATATCACAGGATAAACCAGATTTACTTATTTTCTGAAAGAACAAGATCTAAAAGAATACCTTAATGATAAAAGACAAACCCCTAAGTGAAATTGTATCACAGTATGGGGAGAAAAAGAATAACCCCATGACTGAATAATCTTAAATTTGTTTCATAAGGACTAGAGAAGTACCTCAATTACACCTGAGTTGTGACCTCAAGCCAAATTGTCATAGCTCTATGAGCAATCAAAAAACTCCTCAGGCCCTGTCTGCTTTATTGCACAGGACTGAAGTCCAGACCTAGGACTGCAGCAGAACAGAGCCATTCTGGCCTGTCTCCAATACCCTTTGCTTCATTAGTGCCTTCCCAGCACCATTAGTGCTCCCATTCTGCCCAAAGTACCTGGAAAGCTTCAGCACATTTGCAGCTTAATTGGGCCATCCTGCATTTTTAAGTAGAATTTTAACTTTTAAAATTGAATTTAGTCATCTCCTGAAGCCTCACCCCCACAAGCCTTTGCTCCTGAAACAAATGCAAGTTTAACTGTAATACACTTGTCACCAAACAAATAGAAGGGAACCATTAATTACCCTTTTTCTTCTTGTACAAAAACCACCATACAGTGAGAGCTACTGCTCCTGCCATAGGTACTAGGACAAATCCAGCAATGACTCCTTTCTGCCAAGTCGCTAAGATGACTGGAAATAAGAAAGACACGTTTAAGAAAATATGTACAGTGACAGGTCAACATTACCAACTTCTTCAGTTCCTGACCTTTTATTTTACTACAAATTTGCCTTCTTACACACTGGGGAAGAACTTCAAGGAGAACTGCATGCAAAGTTCACTTGTGAGCCTCTCCTTTGTGACTGAAAACTCAGTACAACAACAGGTTGCTTTTAGCTTGCATCTGGCTCCTTTGGCTTTCGAGCATCCCTTAAACTTTTCCATGTAAGTCAGACAATGTCTGTTTATAAATAGATCTCTCTGTGTAACTTCTGACAATGGCAGAACAAAAAAAGTAAGGGAATTATACATAGTAACATCTCAGGTAACATGACCTTACCTGTCATAATGACATAGTATGCAGCTTATCATAAAAGTTAGCTCACCCCTGATAGTTATTGGACGGCTTTTCACATCCACATTAGCTTGATTAGAAGCCATGCAGTAATATGTCCCCGTGTCCTCCCTTTTCATTGTTTTCTTGTGCCACAAGACTCTGTCTGCATGTTCACTTTTTTCAAATACAAGAACTTCATGATCAGTTTTTCTAAAAATCCTGAAGAGAATTGGCCAAGATCCTTCTGCCACAGAGCAGAGAAAAGCAGTCTCACTGCCATCTTCCACTTCTCCATTCGGAACACTGCCCAAGCTGCATTCCTGATTGGTACTACAGAGGATTGCATAAAGAAAACAAATATTAGCACTATCAGAAATAACTTTGATGATAAAATACTGTATTGTAGAAATACTTGTTTTAATGCATATTTAAACACAGACTGAATGCACAGTATTAATCTTTCTGAACAGTCTGTGCCAGACAGCATCCTCTAGTAAATATTTTTATACACCCAGAAATAGAGAGGGCACTATAAAGAAACAAAGCAGATACAGAAACAAATTATATCCATTCCACAGAAGTCAGTCAGCCTCTTTTCTTAAACTCCTCTGGATGCCCCTCAGGCCCCAACCTATGAATTATTTAATTTTCAGGAATAATACACTCAGCAGTTCAATAATGCAAATAATTATAGTTCCATTTATGTATCTATGCTTTAATAGTTATGCAGAGTTATGCTATTTTATGCTAATTGTATTATATCTTTCTTGTAACATTTAACTGACAATAGTGAATATCAGCAGATAATGGATCGATTTCTTCCAAGGCATAAGCAAGTCTCAAGTTGTAATGGTTACAGAATATAGCAAACAGAATGAGAGAGGTTAGTTTGCATTTGAAGAAGTTGTAAGAATATGCATAGCCAAAATACAGTTTTTAGGTTTGTTGTTTTACAAATTAAGCATATTAGCATATACAGAGCTAGCGTAGGAGTAAATGAGCATCAGCATTTATAATTACATGGGGGAAAAATGTAGGTATATTCTGTGATGCAAAGCATGTAGAATGGTAGTAGCTTCACAAAATGTTTAGGATACAAAGCATCTGTTTTACTAAAATTGCTAAACAAAATTTCTCTGGAAATATTCAAAATGTGTTTGGAGCAGGGTCATGGATAACACAAGCCAGATGTAAAGAAGCAGTCGTTAAAGCAACACTGGTACAGAAGCAGAAGGAGGAAACCAGATCTGCTATGAAAAGATGCTGGTTATTAAAGCTGCATTAGGAAGCAGAAAGAAGATTTAGGTATAAGATGCGCGTTACTATGACTGGTCCCATGACAGAGAGGATTGCTCTGGAAAACAGAAGTCTTTTTTTCAGATCTGGTACAGACAGAAAGGATAGAATACAGGGAATTCGAAGCTGCCATCTCAGGAGTGGTGGACTGCAGAAGATTGGCTCACCAGGTTCCAAAACATGACTTTCTATTCAGAACTTCGAAACAGAGTCACCTCGTATCCTGAACCACTGCCCTAACAGCTGGGATGCACTGGTTCCAGCAAAGAAATACCCCCTTCTTAATTTGTTTATTTGTTACTTATTATTTTAATTTACCTTTACTTTAAATCCCACTAGATAAATCCCTCCAGAGTTTTATCATTTAGCTTCTCCCTAGCGTTAGCAAAGCATATCCTGGTGGAACTGATGAACTCAAGGTGCAGCCCTACTTCTACAGCCTAGGCAAATGCAAACACTGTGCCCAGTTCTGGGCTCCT